GCATTGATTATAGAAAGTGTAGCAAAGAAAATGAATAACAAGATAGAATATCGGATCATGATTATAATTCTTTATAAGCTATCAAAAATATTTTTTTGTTGTAAAAAAATTTTAAGTGTAATTTTAGTTTTTGTTTTATTTGCCTTTTGTAAAATTAAAAATTAAATCATTGGCTTTTATAAAAAAACACCCATTTCATATGTCAATTATCATTGAGGCCTACTGTTAATCATTAACATCTCCGCCGATAGTGAACATCTTTGTAGGTTAAAAAAAAAACGATTACAACTGTTTTCTAAAAGAAGGAAATTATGGTTAGAGCGGTATGGTTATCTGAAAACGGCTAGAAAATAAACTTTGCTTTATTTGTTACAATAATTAGTGCTATATCTACATTACTGATTAGCTACAACTAACTTATTTACGTAAGGTACTACAGTATCAGTATCATAGATATTTTACTAAGTTTCGGTTGCTTGAGCTGCCGACACATCAAATATACAGTTCGTTCTTATATTCAATTACTGTATCCACATATAACTATGATTTGCTCTCTCACTATAAAAAATTACCATTCTAATTCATTAATAATTGTTGCAGATCATAATGAAATCAGATCATTGTGAAATTTAGGGGTCTCAATTTAAAGATATAAGCTCTACCAAAATTCATCTATACTCTTTTTCTAATAATTCTAATCCTAAACCCTAACTTAACTATAAAAAAAAACCTAACTAAAAAAGTCCCAAAAATTTTTAAAAATCATATATAAAATAAGTTAAATTTTATTATAATCTGATTTCATTATGATCTGCCACAATTATTGCTATTAATTGGTTTGCTAGAATAGGTTAAAGGAAACCTAAAGTATATATTATAACATTAAGAAATGTTGCAGATCATAATAAAATCAAATCATTGTAAAATTTAGAGGTCTCAATTTAAAGATATAAGCTCTACCAAAATCTACCTATACTCTTTTCCTAATAATTCTAACTCTAAACCCTAACTTAACTATAAAAAAAAACCTAACTAAAAAGGTCTCAAAAATTTTTAAAAATCATATATAAAATAAATTAAATTTCATTATAATCTGATTTCATTATAATCTGCCACAATATATATATATACAGTTAGACCTTATTATAATCACCTTTTCTATAGTTATATTTGCTTATAATTACAAATTTTTAAAACCAACTTATATAACACTTATAAAATTTAACCTCTATATAAGCACAAACTTTCTATAAACACCAAATTCTTGTATAAGATTTGACTGTATAACTACATACTTTATTTCTAATATAAATATTAAATAAATATATATATATATACTATCTAAATTCTTAACCAAACCCAAAAGCTTTTAACCAAAACAAAGAAATCATTCTAAAATTCGACTTTTCATTTTATTTTTTTTTAAAAAATTTATATTTATAGTATAAAAATTTTATAAAATATTAAATACAAATAATAATAATATAGTAATAATTGAATTATAATAAGCAGAATATGTTCAGATCTTGCTATTAACAGCCATGAATTCTTATTTATTTATAAAAACAACGATTATTGTTGTGTAAGCACTTTGCCTTTCTTTTCATTTACACTTTGCCTTTCTTTTCATTTACCGCTTGTTCCACAATTTTAGCTTCTTCTTGAGCATGTTGTTTAATTTTTTTTTCTTCTTTGAGACGTTCTTCTCGAGCCTTTTCTTCAGCTTTACGAGCTTCATCGACTGAAGAATGAATTTCTTCGGGAGCAGTCTTTGAAGATATAAAAAAAATAAATAAATAATTGTCAAAAATCTTTGAAATATTCATTAAACATTAATCAATATATTAGTACCGTATCGTCAAGATCCATGTTTTATTTTTTTAATGAGAAGTTAGGTTTGAATTATTTAGAATTGCGTAAACTTGATGTACTTGGAAATGTAAAAGTATTTTGTTTGAGAAAATAAAAGCCTGAAGTAGGCACTCTTTTATAAAAAAAAAAAATTATATAAAAAACCACCAGTTTAGAAATGGCATGATTTAAACAATTACGACATTACAAATGGTTGTTAACAGTTAGTGTGATCTCATGATTACGAAATACTTATTACTAATAATTATTCGTTAATAACGATAATTACGATAAATCATTTTAAAATCATTTAACGGGTACTTATATCATGTGATAGGATAGTTTTTCTAACGCGTATTTAAAGTTTGTTACGATATATGCTATCGCTACGTATGAAAAGATGATGTCAGAACCTAACCGATTATAGATATTCGGTTACGCGAAACTGCGGAAGGAATGACTATAAAGGTTTTTATTGAATCTTAAATTTTTTTTCACGTCTGTAAAATGCACAAGGTTGAGTTATAAAAATACAAGAACTAAGGGAAATAATACTTTACTTTCAATAGAACCAGTTTAACAAACAAGCTGGCACCACTAGTTTCTTCAACCCTGGCGCCGTCACCTATTTTCACTTTAGCAGCAACTGCCGCACTCCCTTCAATTTCCACAACAATCTCCTCGTCATCTACCCGGTGGGTACGGAGACTACATCTTAGACAAAGGAACTATAGAGAGCGAAATTTGATATTTAATCGAATGGTACAAGCTGGAGTGAATATTAACGATAATAGTGGTAGTCAAGATTCTAACGATAATGTTTCTTCGACAACCTCTACAACAACTCAAAGAAACACGTCTTCCACAACGAATTCACAATTGCAAGACGATGATCAAAATATACGTTCCCGAAGCAAAGCAGTTTGTAAATTAAATTGTACTTATTGTGAGTCAAGAGTGTGCTTGAGGGGGATGAAGGTAAGCGATTGTGTGAATAGCGATTGTGTGAATAGCAGTTGAAGGTTGAATACGGTCAGTGAGTATGAGTGGCAGTAAATTAAAAATAGAAAGAGATAGAAGAGATAGAAAGAGATAGAAAGGGAGGATAATTTACAGAGCATATTTTGGATATTTGGGTGATAAAGATCTGACAATTATTTAGGCTATGCTTCTTGCTGATACAAGGGTCGAGCTTTATTCTACAGATGTCCCGCCATTATCGTATGTATGCGTTAAATTCATCTAATTGATTGTTAAATCAAAATATCTAATCTTTTTTTGAATAGGGTGCAATTGGTTGGCGAAGATTATTTAACACAAAATTGTCATTGTAAAATTCGTGATGTGGCATGCCTGACTTGGTAGTTATTATTTATTAATTGATATTTATTAAGATTAGGGGGGTTTTTTCGAAAATAAATTTTAATAATAATAATAATAAATTTATTAATAGTGGAAATGTTCTTGGATATCATATCACTCAACCATGTCAACAATGCATGGATGCCTGTAATAATGGACACCTCTGGATGTTTCATACGGAGGAAGTCACAAGCGAAGAACGACTGGACTTTAATGGTACGCAATACGATTTATGTATACATATCAGATATTAAATTTTATTTTAAAAGATTTAGAATATTTAGAATATTTAGAATATTTAGAATATTTTAGAATATTTAATGATCATAATAATCATAATAATTTTTGGTGGATACATTTTTAGGAAATACTGTATTATTATGGACACATCTGTCACAAGCAGAAGAATGTGTTGAGAATATGAATGCGGGGGAAGATGAATACGAAAATTGTTGCCGATAAAAAATTAAGTAGACAATAATAAATGAAAATTAATATGAAATTAATATGAAAATTAATATGAAAATTATTAATAATGATTGGATATATTTTTACTCTATTAAAATCAGCTTAAAGCATTTTAACGATATACAGTATTAGCTAACAAACATACGGCTAATATGTATTTAGATCATAAACATTTCTGGTTTGAATGTACGTAGTAAATTTATATGATATGATTTCATTCGACTGGTCGGATGAAAAATTGATCGACGAAATGGTGTAACAGTTGTTGTAACAGTTGTTGAACTTATACAGCGAAGTTCCCAAAATTCCGAGTCGGAAGGCATCGGAATCATGATCAGCAGGGCCAAAGACCACTAAAATTTTACCAATGAAATCATAGCCCAGCTGATAATTTTGTACTAACCCGTATTGTTAAACGCCGGTCTAGCAAACAGCTTTCGTAATTATTGTATGGGATCATTGAAATATTTTAAATTTCTAGAATATCGATATAGTTATTAATTTTAGGATAGGTTCTAGCTTACACGTGTACCTCGTTTTTTTTTTTTTTTTTTTTTTATGCATGCATATTAACTAGGGATTCACTGCTTTTGCATCGCATAAGTTTGAAAATTTTTTTAAAAAAAAATTCTTATACGTACGGTGCACGCACTCTATAAACCTCTGTTTTACCTTAATTAGAAATGATATACTTACTATGATGTGATGTTT